GATGGATGGATGGATGGATGGATATATCGTCCTGTGACTTTAAAGCATCACAAACTAAACACCAAAATACTCACTGTTGTCAGGCTTTGCTACTCTGATAAAATGCAAGTTCAGTGAAGAGTGGGCCATTTGCATGAGGCTCCTGGTTTGAATCAGTGATAAAAAACAACATTCTTTTATAGCAAATACAATACTCCATTTTCAAGTTCTCTTTGCTCAGCCTTAGTCTTGGTTGTGCGTTAAAATATTCAGCCATCTATTCAAAACCTTTGGCATTTTAATCAACTCGTATTGTTCCATAGTATGAATATTTCTTACTATACAATGGACCTTAATAAAAGAAAAGAACACGTATGTATATATTTGTATTGAAGGTAAGACTGAGCAAATGGACAAACTTGATATGGGAGTGTTGTTGAATTTGAGTCAGCTCCTATATATTAATTGTATTGATCCAAATACCTCAACTGAAAACAATAGTTTGAAGCTGTGGTTCCCTGAAGCTCTCTCCTTTTGCACTGGATGGATTTGAGAGAGACATAGCTTCATCTTTCATTTTTTTTCTTATTTTATATACTTTATTTTTATATCGATATCATTATCATCATACTAGTAGAGCAAAGGCATTTAACCCGTGAAATAAAAAATACTAGTCAACATGTAATAGTCAAAAAGACACAAAAGAATACAATGGAATTAGGGTCTACTAAGGTGTATTAGTCTAACATCTATTTTACAGGTTTAATGACTTCACTCTATATATTTATAGATATAATAGATATAAATTTATTTTAATTGTCTTACTGTAAAGTGCATCGAGGCTCTCAGGATGCTCTATATTATTAAATACTCTTTTATTATTAGTAGTAGTAGTAGTAGATGACTTTGCAGTCAATCTCTACTTTTGGAGTTCCTGTGTAAATTATACAAGAAAAGAGCATGTGACCTGAGAAGACATAAAAGAAGGGAGCGAGAGGGAGGAAGATAAGGAAGGGGGAAAGGGAACTCATCCACCCCCTTCTCTCATTCTTCCCTCTTAACCTCTCTTTCTGCTTGTCTCACTTCTTCTTCCACCACAGGACTCCCATAAGATGGCAAAGCATGCAAGTATGGCCCTTGAGTCACTTACAATCTTAATGACATTCTCAGCATCCTCGCTTACTGGTTTACCACAATCTGGACTTGCTGAAACATCAAATTGTATTAAATCAATATCCTAATTAAATTATACTTAGAACCAAGTGAATTTTTGTAAGTCTTACCTAAATACAGTGCACCAAATCCTCCCCATCCAATCAGTTTTCCAAGCTTCCATTGTTTCTTGGTGAGGTCTGTGAGTACCGTCCCAGAAGGTACTTCTACCATGCCTTTAGGACGCCGTGGTTTCATAGAAGCAGCCGACTTGGGTCTTTTGGAATCTGCTTCTCCTTTGGACTTTGCCTGACTAGTCGCTTTGCGCTTTCCTCTTGAACTCATTTGAAAACTCTTTCACTCCACGGATTAAAACTCTTACTCTATGGCTTATGAATAAAAACTAAGGATTTGTAATTCAGTGTCTTGTATACTGATAATTTTATCGATTATTTATAGCCTTTTAGCTTCGTTCTGCTTCCGAAAGTAAAACCAGTAAACGATTGATTTCATTAATGTATTTTCCCGCCATTTCCTATGACCATATTTGGTATAACTTACCATATATGGTAAAATTGCAAGATTCGAGTTCTCTACTAACTGATATTTCTGAGAAAGGAGAAGATCCATCTTGTATTTTTGTCACTTAAAAGCATTTTTCTGGCGATCAAGTAAGTATCTCTTATACACCAGGAATTTTAAGGCTATTTAGAATTATTAACGCTTTATTTCGCTGGTATTTTTCGTCGAAATCGAAGCAAGACCCCTCGTGTTACGTTATTTTTAACAGCCATTCATTTCATTTTCTCTTTTCAAAGTTTAGCATCATCAAGAAATGAGTTCCACATCGCAAAAACACAAGAATTTCGTTAGTGAGCCTATGGGCGAGAAGCCAGTGACAGAGCTAGCAGGGATCGGAGAAGTACTTGGAGGCAAGCTTAAAGACAAGGGCTTTGATTGTGCATATGTAGTACTTGGACAGTTCTTGCTGTTGAAGAAAGATGAAGAGATGTTCAAGGAATGGCTGAAAGATTTGGTGAACGCAAATAAGAAGCAAAGCTCAGATTGTTATACTTGCTTAAAGGAATGGTGTGATGCTTTCCTGTAAAAGTCAAAACAGTGGGAATTTAGTATTATATAGTAGCAAAAAATTAGCTTACGCCAAGCTTATAAAATCTTTGACATTTTTATCTAGTTCACGATTTCAAGTGTAAAAACATCCCTCCTCAAATCTATTGAAGTGGCATCTCTGGGAAAAATAATACTGAATTGCAAAGTGTATTCACATTATGGTTTCAATAAATAAACTGAGTTGTCATGCCATTTCAGTGCTTTAAATTTCTGTGTGTTACTTAATTATCTACTTCCTGTCCTTTATGATTAAAACTTTCACTTTCATTTTATTTGCCCTSTAGAGAGGAAACCACTATGCTGTGAGCAGAGGYTGTTTTTCATYCCCTCCATGGGGCTGCTAGCAGGGAAGGAAACTACCTCAAGCTAGCTAAACAACCAGAACCTGGTTGTACAAAGGGTGCATAGYGCTATCCGACAGATAAATCTTGTTCACTAGTTAAATATTGGGTAACAGCGTCACTTTATCAAAGGATTTAGATGTTGAATAGTGCCATCCACTCTTCATACAACAGGACCAAGGTGTCCATCCACTCCTCCTCTCTACCCCTACACGGTGCATAGATGGACAAAACAAGGGGGCAAACTGGTTTGTAAGCAGCTCAAATGCTGCAGTCTGGATAGGCTTTTGAATATAYAATTTGCTCATAGTAAACCCCTTTGGGCATGGCCAACTAGGATARTTATCACTGATTTCATCTGTCTGGCAAACAGGTCAAAGATTAAGAGAAAAAATTAGCTTGACCAAACAATCGGTACATCGGTGGTTTGATACTCATCAATCAGCTAAACTTCATTTTGTGAATTAAGTTTTTTAATGCTTTTTTCATGTGCTCAATTTTTACACCAGTTGATTCCCCCCCTTCATAAAATCAGCAYGAGTTAAAAGCTGTATGAATGGATATTGAATGTGGTGGAAGTTCGTATCAAATATTTATGCTAAAAAGGTAAAGGTAAAGTACCTATATTTAACGTCGGTAGTTCCTTCAGTTGAAATTCAACTGCTATCAATGGAAGCCGACGGTGCGCACTTTACCCCCTCTCACCATCAATGCTCTGTTTTAAGAGTATTTAAAGCTGAAGCTACACGGATTAGAGAGAAGTCGAAACAGACGTGGAGATCGTAAGGATCGAACCGTGGACCTCAAGCTCTGAAGGTCGCACCAACTGAGCTACGCCTGCTCCTATAAATATATGCTGAATTTGTTCACCTACAAAAGCTTCATTTTTTCAAATTGAAAACCTCTTCAAGATGTGGCTGATCACTTCACTCTATCCATTTATTACTAATTTTATCTATGTGGTTAACAAGTTTATTTTTTATAACGCTGCAATTTTATTACAAATGTTTTAAATAAAGTCACAAGGACAATATAGAAATCATTTACTAAGGATGAGATATAAACATTAGTTGTTGAGATATGACTACATAAGTCATCAAACACTATCAAAAGCTAGCAAAGTGCAAACACAGGTCATTTATATATTGCTGTTATCTCAAGAGTGTTTTATGTACTGTTTAACAAATTAAGCAGGAGTGTTTCATCAGGTTTTAAAATATGAGGTGTAGCAAAGTGGTTTTTGACCTGATAAAACATGATCTGTGGGTTTATTGGACAGCTTCGAAAAACTCAGGAATATCTCACAAACCTTTGGTTGAATTTGGGTTATCAAATATGCCGCAAATATATACTTTAGTATGCACAGCAAGTCCCAAGAGACTCCCACAAGTTGGAAACACTAGTCTACCAGATTTTGTGGGTCATCTGTGATTGTACATTAGACTGACCTTCATAAGGCTCTAAGTCTTCTTCTTCCTCATTAGAATTCTTTATGTAAAGAATATTAATGAAGCATGAGGAATTTATYGGTTTTAAAAGTCCATGCACAAGGCATGTATGTTCCTTTCAATTGAATCAAAGGCTTATGAATTATATTTTCACGAGTTTTTTGAACCTGTATCCAAACACTGAGGTATTGACATGATCTTCTACCCATGTAATTTTGGTWGTCATGAAGTTGAAGCTAAGTTTACAGCAATGCCAGTTACAAGAAATGTATAGTTAGTGGGTTAGGTATCAACAAGGAAGATTTCAAACTAGGCAGAGAATCAAAACTGAAACTCTGACTTTAGGATATATTTCTGTTTTGGAAAGTAATATACTGACACAAAGTCTGGGATTCATTTACACAGATATTTACATTTTAAAAATTTTCAGAGCTTCCTGTACTTGAAATGTTACATTTTCAGTTAAGAAGAATTCACCAGGATGTTTAGATGGAAGGGAAAGTTATGCTACTAACTGTTTCCTAATTTTAAATTTTCCTTTTTGTAACTGCCCTATGTACAAATTGGTTTTGTATCCATCATTTCTGCGAACCAATATCTGAAGAAAAACAAAAATGAAATTCATAAAAATAATGAAAACATCTATAGTAACAGCAAATGAAGGAGGGTTTGAATGGGGTGGCTGTTACCAAAAAAATCAAATCAGGGCTTAAAATAACTGTCATAAGTCACCGGTCATGATGACCAGCTAAATTTGTTTGCTCACACCTTGTTTCTTGCTTAACGTTACTGGTCAAAATGATGGGCAAGGCAAAGATTTGACCGAACAAGTTACAGTTATTCTGGGTGGACATTGTTTGATGTTCAGCCGCTATTATTTTAATTTTTTTTATTTGACATTCTTATTTATTCTTAAAACTCCATGGTGGTATGGGATGAGGGGTGAGTAACAATCCAACCCTCCCTTGATTTAGCCTTTTTGACATTTCGTTCAATTAATCTTTATTGTCAAGCATACTCACCTCGCCAGTGTTTATTCCAGTCACCATTGCACTGYATTAACAAGTTTTAAACGAAAATCAGTCAGTGGTCATTAAATGAGCAAGTAATAATTGAGCATAATAAGTATAATTTATACACACGACCGACCTCTTTAGTTTGGGTAGCATGTTTTCTTATCTAATACCATATGATACTCTCTAAAGTATTATATTTGCTGCTAATAAATCCTTCAATATATATAACTTTGGGCATTTGTTGAGTAAGCCAAAAAACAAAGACTTCCTCTACTCATTCAACAACTCCAAATCTTTCGCCTGCCCTCTGCTGCAGACACCACTTGTTTGTTCAATAAAATMTCATCCTTCTGTCATGTAGACTGRTTCTATAAGTCATAGTTTTCACTCATTTTCGGGTCGTCACTCACGAAAGAGCAAAAACATAGACTTATTTGGAATCTGAGTCTATCTAACATGGAATATCAAAAGACTGTGAGACATTGATTTAACAGATCAAAAACAGTTTTCCTTGTTTGATACTCTGATTTAAAAACTTGGGATGTTGAGAGAACAGGAGAGGAGCGTAGGAAACCACGACCCGTAGCGGTAGCAGAGAGTTTTGATCAGAGTATCAAAAATGGAAAACTGTTTTTTGATCTGTTTCATAAAATAACAAATATGCCAAATATCGTATTATCCTGATGTATTTGTAAAGGATGACGCACGATACCCTCATCAAACGTTTTTTCCACCAATCGTAGCGCACTTACTATCCCAATTATTTCATAATTCATTATTAATGATACCTGTAATTAGTGCCGTCTTTTCCTTCAATAACAATTTGACTTCCTTTGTGGAACCTGATAATACGAAAAACTATTAAATATCTGGAGTTATATAAGAGAAAAATATTTTCAAATGAAACTCACCATTCGCCTTCATAATAAAGTTTTCCATCTTCATATCTTGCACTAAATGGAATCTTTTCAGTATGGTATGAACCTTCAGTAACAAATAAAGCACTTTAGTATATAGTATGTGCCAATATGTAAGATTCATGCTAAAATAACAATATAAATATGGGGAAAAAAATCAAAGACAACATAGAAAGACAATTACCCCGGGATGTCATTTGAGCTTTCCTTCTTGCAAGAGCTCCTTTTGCCTGGAAATGGAAAGGTTGAGGATAACAMTATTAATAATTAAAAATATTGGGGGTATTCCTTTCATTGGGGGGAGTGGAGGGGGATCAGGGAGGGGAATCGGGGAGGGGGAGTGGGGAGGTACAGATACTTTCTGGTTCTGAAAATTGATAATTCAATACCTTTCTTATTGCTGCCCAGTCTTCTAATATATCCATTTCCTTTAACATATATACAATATATGGACCTACRATAATGATATGTACAAGCATTAATGGCTAAGTTTGAATTGCAATTATGTTACCTGAGGGGCATGCTCTCTTACACTATAATTAACTTGCTAGAGTGGTTTTTGCATGRGCAGGAAAACAATAAAGCTTTTAAGTGTGACGTCACTTGTAAGGAAGCAGGACTTCCAAGTCCAAAACAATAAGCAGTTCTATAAAGATTTTCCTTAAATTTTTTCCACGACATGAGCACAAAAACTTTCTTCAAAGTTAAAGTCACAATTTAACAGCTATATAGGATAAATTCATATCTATACTGTAGCCATACCATATCTTACAAWAAATACTGAGGGGGGGAGGCAGGGAATTGGAAGCAATTTTAATATTATGACATGTTGTATAGGTACTGCAAGTCAGTATTGTAAGTTTTGCACTCACATGAAAACTGCTTTATAATGATAATTGCTTTGCCTTTTATCGTGGTTTTATAACAACAGACAATTATCAGTAATATCTGTTACTGTATCATACCTGATATAGTGACTGGTTTGYGGCRCTTTTCTKGAAATAAAACACCATCAGCTGCTTTTCTGTGCTTCTTGTGCATCGATTGTGACTCAAGCCAGACATCTAGACAGAACRAAATACATAAACACAAAACATCAAATTAGAGTACAGATTTACCTATTTCTATACTAAGTTTTTAAGTGTGATGTCATTTGTATGGGAAAAAAATGAATTTAGGGTCCAAAATGAAAAGCAGTTTTAAGAACAATTTTTTATTTTTATTTCTTTATGACTTGTTAGGATTTGTTGTCCAATGTCACGTTACGTTTCTTATACACATATATTATATATTTGCCTATTTTCCTTTCGCTTGTATTTTATTCAGTCCATAGTTAATAATTAGTTAATTAGTTAGTCATCTCCTGTAATTTGAGTCTTTAGCGTCCTTTAGCACATGTTATTAGTCTTCAGCATTTTATCGCCACAATTCATGCCAAATTCAATCAGAAAATACTACGTATTAGAATCCAGGACCAGACGTAAGTTATCTATTCCTACTTATCTATTCCTTTTCTTATACTTTCCATGTTAATTTAGTTTTGTGTAGTTCCAATTAGTAAATTTCAGCCTTATATTATTATAGTTTTCACCGTTTGGTATAATCATCACTATCATGTAATAAAGAATGCATTGTCCTAAACTGGTTGACACTATCGTTTCTGGGCGACGACTGTCTCTGGGAACATTACATCCAAAGTTTTGATTGTTTTAAGTAAAGGTTTTAACCTTTACTTAAAACAATCATTTTGAAAATGATAAATTTAAAAATCATTTTGAGAAGTTAGATAAATAAAAAAAAAAATTTTTAATGAAAAAAATGAAAATTTGAAAATGATAAATTTAAAAATCATTTTGAGAAGTTAGACATGAAAATACCTCACAACTTAAAATGTTTATACAAATAAACCATTTCTGAAACATTTGCAAAGCATCACACCAAAGTTTAAAGTATAAATCTCACCTTTTTTGGAAATTAAAGCATGTTTACCTGCTGATATATCAATATTGTGTTTGTCTTCTTCAAGTTTTCGGATCTTTTCCTCAAAATCTGCTTTCATTCCTTCCATCAGAGCTAATTTCTCACTCTTTAAAAAAATAATGGTCAATAATTTAAAGATCTATTTTATCTGGTTCAAAAAATAAATTTTCATTTTATTTAATTAGCAAGGAGGGCTAAGAATAACAGCACAACAAACAGACAATGTCTGCCTCAACACTAGTCCAGCCACGTGTTGAGTTAGGCTACGTTCATAATGTATGGCAGGGGGCAGGTGAAATTTAGTGGAGATTTCACCTGCCCCCTCTGCCATACATTATATATACATTATGCAGCTTTAGCAGCCAATGAATAGACAATGTCTGGCTCAACACCTTGGTCCAGTCCTCTTGACTATAGTCACATTGTTGATTGAACAGCCAATAAGCATTGTTCATACCTCAAAATGTTGAACTGCTGATTGTTCTTCGGCATCATATTTGTGCTTTACATTCACAAGCTGCATAGAAAACACCAAATCAGTCAGTGGGATAAAGCACTTTATAATCTGTGCATTTACAATCTATAGACCACTTGCACTAATTCCCATGAATCTGGGAAGTCAAAAATTTGACTTTTATTTAGTGGATACTTACTCTACACTGCTTGAGAATATCTGTTAAATAAAAAAGAAAATGATTCAAATTAGTAATTGAAATATATATATAGTTGGCTTGGGCCTCCTGTGGAAAACTTTATACCACAGGAATCCCAAGATAGTAATTGAATAGATCAAGTCAACTGAAGTGGAAAGCCATTTTTATTTTTATTTTTTCTAATGCTTTTATACCAAGAGCATCAACACTACTTACCAGCTACTTCTAGTCTTATCTCACACATTTCTTTCAATTCTGCCAATGGTCCACTTACGTTAGTTTAATTTCTGACACACGCTACTTATGTTTATTCTTTCTACACATAAGACACACACACAGGCCAACGTGGTGTGTCCTAGTCGTCTCGTTACACGTAGGGTTAAGCTTCTGGTGCTAGAAGTTTTGAAATGTGTAGGTCGAATACTGACCTCTACCTTGTGTCTTAACCCCTGATGATAAATACTTGGTAGATCGAACGACTATCCCAGAGCTTTCATAGTTTCATATTGTATTCCCTACCACACCGCCGCAACGCATGAGCTCATGTTTCATAACGTTGCCTTCACTCGAAACCCTTTTATTCTTAACTCAATATACATTGTACGATGTACTTTATCGTTTACTGTATCATTACTACCTATCTACGATACATATCCAAAATATTCTCATATACGTCTCGTACACTCAACTGTTCCAATCACCCACTGCCTTAATATTTATTTATTTTATGCTATTTATTTATATCTTCTTCATCATTTTTCTTTAATCATTTTTCACATACGAACCGCCCCCTCCCCACCACTTCCCCCTTTGCTTGAGTCCGAATACCTGTGTCAAACATAGTGTTTGTCAGGTTTTTAATACCTGATGAATCTATGTTTTTAAATCTCTAGTGTTGATTCTTGGGTGTATTTGAAAATGAAAAGTATAAAATAATGTTACAACTTACTGCTCCTTTAACTCCACGAACTGTCTTTCCAAGTCTGCCATATCATCCAGGCACTCAGCTCTCCGTCTTTCATTTTCAGTCTCATCAACTACAATCAAAACACAAAGAAACCATTAATATCTTCCTCAAAAATGCGTAAAAAAGTAGTAGTTTCGTGAAGCTTTACTCACTCGAGTCAGACGAAGAGTCCTCAGAGGCAGAAGACATGGTGTTGTCTTCTTCATCTTCTTCGCTGCCATTTTCCTCTTCGTTTGGGCTTCTTTCCACCTCTTCGTCCCCACTTTCTTCTCCATCCATTATAGGCATCTCAAAGGCTTGAATTCAAGAAGAATTTCGGTAAAATTTCGAGGTTGTTTCAAAATGATGGAATTACATTTTATTGGAACTGGATCGTGTTATCCTTCTCTTCACAGAGGAGCTAGTTGCACTGTTCTACGACATGAAAATAGCTGTTGGATGTTTGACTGTGGCGAAGGCACCCAAACCAAGCTTATGAAGAGCTCCATCAAACCAGGACGTATCAGTAAAATATTCATCACTCATCTTCATGGTGATCACGTGTTTGGGCTACCGGGGTTCCTGTGTACAACAGGACAAAATTGTCCTGAGAATAAAGCACCAATAGAGGTTTATGGGCCCGTTGGACTTCGTAAATTTATAAGAACAT